ACTGGTGGATGTCATATCATGTCCATCACCCATTCACCCCCCCCCTCCCATGTAGCATATCTGGCACCTTCGTGAATGTTATGTCTATAACCTTACTCCTTCCTTGGCGTGTGTGTCTGTCACTCCTCCTGAATATTTTTTATTGTATCATTTGAGTTGCACCGAAAGGACATTTTCTAACTGAAAATTTTTAAAAAATGTCAGGCCGAAACCGATTTTTTTCCCTACCTTTTTAAAACATTTTTAAAATATAAATAAGTGAGGACATGGTGAGGGGAATTTATCAAAAATTGAGCAGACAAAATCTGGAGCAGTTGTGCATGGCAACCAATCAGCTTCTCTCTTCAGGTCGTTCAGTTAAGATTTGAAAGAGAGAAGCTGATTGGTTGCCATGCACAACTGCTCCAGATTTTGTCTGCTCCATTTTCGATAAATTCCCCTCACCATGTCCTCACTTATTTACAAACATTCAGCGATCACTGATCATTGAGTGCTTGTAACCGTTCTCCATCCCCGACCCCTGCGCTGTCACAGGAGGCTGAAGGGGGGGGCGCAGTGCAGGAGGAGAGCTCGGCCTCCTGTGACGTTGCCGCTCACATCACTCTCCTGGCAGTTTCTCTCCTCCCCCCTAGACGCTGTGCTGTGTGAGGTGGCACAGAGCAGTACCCGGCGGAGAGGAGAGAAACTAGGGATGCATCACCAGTTCGGCCGAAAGATGGGACTATCTGCATTTTTGGCGAAAGTACCATTTGCTGGTCCGATATGTTTGGCGGCTGAAATTTTGGTGCATCCCTGTCATTTATATTCTGCCCCGTAGCGTGTGTCCGTGACTATATCTGATATGTTATTAGACAAATGATTTATTATCCCTCACCCCTTAGTTTGTATTACTTCATGTCTGTTATTCTCCATAAAGAGTGTCTGTCACTACAATGTATACAAGTGTGTCATGTTGTTTAGCTACTACTCCTCTAATTAACATGACACTAAACTCAGGAGTTAAATCTTAAAAATACATTCAAGTACTTCAACTATTAACAGAAATGTATCTTATTTGTGTATCACTCGGCTGTAGATCCTCAGATCATCTCTGAATTGGTGCCGACACTGTCCTTCCTTCTGGAGGGTGGCTACTTTTCTTCCCCATGGCCCCTGTGTGTGTTGTAAAGTAATCACCTCTCCAAGCTCCCTCCTGTGATGGACTACAATCTCATGTTTAGTTTACTGCAAATGCACTGCAAGTACAGAGAAATAACTGTTGATGCGCCAGAAACTGTTTGACCTCCAACACACGTAAACTAAACTGGCGATTGTAGTCCATCACAGGAGGGAGCTTGGAGAGGTGATTACTTTACAACACACACAGGGGCCATGGGGAAGAAAAGTAGCCACCCTCCAGAAGGAAGGGCAGTGTCGGCACCAATTCAGAGATGATTTGAGGATCTACAGCCGAGTGATACACAAATAAGATACATTGTTGTTAAGGCCTCATTCACACACAATGCAAGCAAAATTGTATATTGCGTATATACGCGTCTATGCGCGTGTATATACGAGCGTATGTGCGTGCACTATATGCAATCCCAGAATGCATCACTCGTAATGGAATTTTTTATGTGCTGTACGCACGTAAATGCGCGCAAACACGCGTATATGCGCGTAAATACGCAGAAATACGCTGCCCGGACACATATCTGTTCCATTCTGTTGTCGCGCATATATACGCTACGCAAATATATGGCTCTATACGCGGCTGTGTGTATGTGTACGCTCTGCCTACCTAGAGGCAGATCCAGCAGTACCCGCCCCCTCCCCTGTCCGTTCCTCCAGTCAGCGCTGGCAGATCGGAGCGGGGAGAGGGGAATCCAGCCCCTCCCCCTGTCACGGCAGAGAGCCGTGACAGGATCGAGAGGTGAGCGAACACCGGTATGTGTTCCCTCACCTCCCGATCTACTGAGCCGACCTGTGACAGTCTCATTGTCACAAGTCGGCTTAGAACTATGAGGTGAGTGGAAATCACTCACCTCATAGCTCTCCTTTAAACATAAACAGACATTAACATAAACAGTTAAACAACATGACACATTTGTATACATTGTAGTGACAGATACTCATTATGGAGGATTACAGACACTTCAGCCGAGTGATCCACAAATAAGGTCCAGTATTGTTAAGGTGCTTTGAATTTATTAAGATTTAACTCCTGAGTTTAGTGTCACTTTAAATACAGCTGTATGTTGTATAATGTCTCTTACAATATCCCCCCATAGTGTTTGTCGTGTTTATATCCATTATATTGCGCTCTATACTCTATTAGATACGTGCTCACATGTGACAGTCATATGTATGTTTCCCCTAAGGGAAAGAAAATAAACCGGCCAGCTATAGGCCAGTTGCTGCCTGGGGTCTATGGCCGATTTAGTCTCTCAGTAGTGAAGGAACTTATTCTTCAGATAGAAGCACTATGTGGTTGTCTGCTGAATGTGTTGGAAAGGGTCAGGTAATGAGGGCACAGCATAACCTCCCTTTTGCTTGTGATCTCCTTATCGCCAAAGATCAGAGCCCCCTAAAGGATATCTAAAGCCCATCCCTTTTTCATATTGAATGGAGTAGTGAAGGGTTGGAACCTCTGTGCCTTTTTTCTTTTTTTCTTCTTTGCTATCTGTGGCTCGTGAGGGAGATTTCTACCTACTTCCTGACCTGTAGACACAACAGGAAGTGAGGATATCTGAGGGAAATCCACTCATAAACAGTTGTCGTGAAGACTAGTGTCCCCATAAATAGTTTTCTTTTCTGGTGGCATTTCAAAGATTTGGATTCGCCCGGACTATCATTTCCGGTGGCAGTGGTGGTCAGAACAGTTAGAGACGAGGCACGTGGATATCAATAAAAATATCACCAAGTTTCTAACTCTTCATCACTCTATCCAGATCTAAAAAAAAAAGTTATTCAAGTCTCCATTTTTTTAGCCCGTCACTTGAACGCAATGAGGGGAATTTATCAAAACTGGAGCA